CCTCAGCCTCCCAAAGGCGCGGGATTATAGGCAGAGCCACCGAGCCCAGCTAAGTCCCAGGGGTTCTAAGGCAGGTCTCTTGCCCCTCCCTCTGTAAACAGTGATGGCCGCTGTCCCACAAAAGTGGTGGAGAAAGAGCAGGAACTACGAGTTCAGGATTGCAGTGCTGTATGCACACGAGAGATTGTGGGTAACACCAGGTGACAGGTAGCTCCAGGCCTCCGTCATGTTAAATTCATCCATTCATTCAGTACCTATTTATTGAGCATCTGTCGCGGTGCTCAAGACACGGTGCTCAAGTCTGGGAACAAAACGATGAACAAAAAGCTTACAGACCCTCCCTTCATGGAGCTCAAAAGTCTAGTGGATGAGACATTAATCAAGTAAACTCACAAATAAGTTTAAAATAGCAAATTGTGGTGAATGTTAAGAAGGGAAGGAATGGGGTGGCCTGAGAGGAGATCAAGGGGTCAGGTCCTGGAAAATGACATTTAGTATGAGAATTCCTACGAGGGTTGTGGGGGGGGGCTCATTTGGGGCTCTATGGGAGCCTCCATCTGGAACTATTTCCTAATTCTGAGTGAAGCCTGTTTAATAAAGTTGGTGATTCTTCCAGGCTTCTGGTGTACTGCAGTAATAAACCAGGCACTCTCCTATGTCCGGATAAGAGTGAACATAGTTTGTTAGCATGTCTGAGGTTTTTGAAAGGGACCAGCTTGGGCTTTGGAAGAATCTAGCTCAGCTGTTATGTCAGTGAAATTGATGACCATCAAACAGTGCACAGTACAAGGAATCTCTTGCAATCTGTGTGCAGACACTGAGACTTTTAGGGGAGAAGAATGCAGACACATGATGGAGATGGAGACCAAGCTGGTCAGATCTCTTGTTGGTCAGTAATCATGACAGTTTAAGAATTACAGTCCAGTGCTATAGGGACCAAGTAATTTGTTAGTAGTTGAAAAACTCAGTTAAAGCAAACACCATTTAAAAAGATACTTGCCTTAAACATTTTATTTTAAATTAAAAATATATGTAAGTGGACACTCACTGGCCCATCTTTCTAGATAGGGCCTGCCTTTGAGGACGGCTCTTTGGATTAGAGTTTCCTGTGGTCTTTCTTGCATAAACAACACCCAATTTTCATTTCTTCCGAATGAAAAGAAAACAAAGACATTTGTGGAAATAATCAGAGCCCAAAACTCATCTGGATTTCTTTAATTTATTTTCCCAACCATTTGCAGGTCTTACTTCTATAGCTTTTTTTTAAAGTAACCTCTCTTTGCTGAATGTACCCAAACGTGGTCTTGCTACCTCACTCCAGCTTGGGTGACAGAGTGAGACCTCCATTCAAGTAACAATAATAATTGATAATAATGACTTTGGCAACTAGTCATGGTGCCACTATGTGCCTTTGTATGCCACTATGTGCCTTATAAATGCTTTGTTGATATGTTAGCTTATTTCATCCTCACAACAACCATGTGGGTAGGTACTGTTGTTTTTTCCATTTTTAAATGGGAAGGCTGAGGCTCTAGAGAGTAACCTCCAGGCACTAAGTGTCCTGCAGGTAGTGAACATAAGTCAGCAGGTTTTGCAGAGGAGCAGGGACCGTCAGGTAGCCTGGTGAGCTGCTTCAGGGAATCAGTTAAGAGAGCTTCCACTACTTATTCTCTGTCTCATGAGGGTTTCTGGAATGTTCACGTCTTTCTAAAGCCTTGAAAAATGAAATCAATTCACAACTCGCAGAAATAATAACTTTGTGGTCTCTCCTAAAAGAAGACAAGAGGCTGGGTGTGGTGGCTCACACCTGTAATCCCAGCACTTTGGGATGCCATGGCGGGAGGATTGCTTGAGCCCAGGAGTTCAAGACCAGGCTAGGCAACATAAAGAGATCCTGTCTTTATAAAAAATTAGCCTGGTATAGGGGCACATGCCTATAGTCCCAGTTACTTGGGAAGCTGAGGCGAAAGCATTACCTGAGCCCAAGAGACCAAGACTGTGATGAGCCGTAAGCATGCCACTGCATACCAGCCTGGGTGACAGAATGAGACTCTGACTCGAAAGAGAGAGAGAGAGAGAGAGACAGAGACAGAGAGACAGACAGACAGACTGACTCATCATCTTCATACAGTCCTTCAAGCCTGAGATTCTGGGGGGAAAAAAAAAATACCAGGAGATGTGGTTCTTCTCTTCTGGCTGTGTTTGTATGAAACTAATTCCTAAGTGCTCACTCTTGCTGCTGTCGGTTGACATGGCCACCCTTTGGTGCTTTCTCAGCCGGGTGCACCTGCTAGGGGTTAGGTCCCTTGCTAACAGGCAGTCCAGTCCCTGTCCTAGAATAACCCTCGGTCACCTGGCTTCCCTCATCCAACTGTGATAACTTGCTCTGTCCCGACCACGTCACCCTGGCCCTTTGCTCACTCGGCTGCCTGGGCTCCTGGCAGCCTGCCTGGTATTTCGTTTTCTTTCCTTGTGTTTCCATCTGCCCTCCGTGCTCCCTGGCTCCCTCCCCTTTGTCTGGCTTCTCACTCGATCTCCATCTTGACCGCCCCTCACTGTTCACATATGCTCTGATTGCACCTTGTCCTATTTTAATTCTAAATAGGTAATAGATGCACGTGGTTTAAAAATTTCAAGACTGTATGAAAATACAGTTAAATCTCTGACCCCATCCCAACTCCCTCCCCCATAGGGAAATACATCTATTAGTGTCTTGTATATACTCCAGAGTTTCTTTATGCAAATACCAAAAATTCATTCTCTTCTTTCTTTATAAAAGTATATGCTGTCGGACCAGGCACAGTGATTCATGCCTATAACCCCAGTATTTTGGGAGACTGAGGTGGGAGGATTGCTGGAGCCCAGGAGCTTGAGACCAGTCTAGGCAACACAGTGAGATCTCGTCTCTACAAAATGAGAGAAAAAAGAAAAAAATTAGCCAGGAGTGGTGGTGCATGCCTGTAGTTCCAGCTACTTGGAGTCTGAAGTAGAAGGACTGCTTGAACCCAGATGGTTGAGGCTGCAGTGAGCTGCGATCATGCCACCACTGCATTCCAGCCTGGGCAACAGAGTGAGACTCTGACTCAGGAAAAAAAAAAAAAGTACGTCCTGTGTTCTGCAGGGTTTTTTTTTTTTCACTCAGCATTATATTTTGGAGGTCTCTCTAGGTTCTTCTGTTCCTTTTATAAGTGGCATAGTAAAAAGTTCAAGTCCAGGGCCTGTTGGGTGGACGGGCCAGTCCTCACTGGAAGACACCCGGGGTCTTCTAGTCCTTGTTGGATATAAACAATGCCGCCAGGAACATGTCTGTGTCTTTTAGACATGGCGATTCATTTTTGCCTCCATTTCCTTCCAGATGCTTCAGGATGACATGGGTCTCAAACACATTATCTGTGCCACCTTTATTTCTGTGGCCTAGCACTTTAGCTTGATGTGACTGACCCCTTCCTCCTAACTGACTTCTGTCTCAGTCCTTATCTAAACATCTCCGTTTTTTGTTTTCCTCCACAGCCACCTTCTAGTCATTCAACAAGTTTTTTCTTCCTTTTAGGGCAAAATATTTCCAAATAAAGCCAACAATTCCAAATACTTCCATTGATTTCCAGTACTGCCACCCCTATCAAGAGTAAGCGCTACAGACCGTGGACTGGGCACTCTGCCCAATGCTTAATACCTTTCATTGGTCCTTTTAACCATCCAATACGTAAAGAGCTCTCATTTTACAAATGAGGAAACAGCCTTGGAGAGGTCAAGTGACTGGGTCAAAGTCACACAGATGGTAAATAGCAGAGTTAAGGTCCCAGCCCAAGTCCACCTGACCTCACAGTGGTCTCATCTGCTGAAGCCCAGAGTGAAGGGCTTGGAGCAATTTGGGTTAAATCAAGGAGGGTTCATTAAAAAGTCTCTTTTCCTGTTAGAGTTGTGGAATGCAAGTGGGGATTTACTGCATAAATAGGTGGCCACATGCAGGTGAAGTCTGGGCTTCTCGCTGGCTCTCTCTCCCCCCGATAGTAGACTGGGTACCCAGTGTGTTGCCCCATGCCCCCCTCCCTCCCCTGGCAGTGTCCAGCATCTGATGATCCCACCCTTATGCTTATGTGAACGGTGTTCAGGGTCCGCTTATAAGTGAGAACATGTGATATTTGGCCCTTTGTTTCTGTTCGGTGGGTTTGATAGTTCACTTGGTATGATGGTCTCCAGCTGCATCCAAGTTGCCGTGAAGGCCCTGGTTTTGTTCTTCTTTATGGCTGCATAATATTCCATCATGCATCTGTCCCACATTTTCTTTATCTGGTCCACTTTCGATGGGCAGCAGGGTTGGTTCCATGTTTTTGCTATTGTGATTAATGCTGCAGTAAACATGCGTGTGCAGGTGTCTTTTTGGTAGAGGGATTATTGTTGCAACCCAGAGTTCTCTTAATCCTTTGTGCTCCTCTAGTTTCCGGGAGGATTTCCATTACAACGACACAGCGGGGTACTTCATTGTTGGAGGGAGCAGGTATGTGCCTGGTGTTGAAGGGTTTTTCGGACCCCTGAAGTATTATCGCCTCCGCAGTCTGCACAAGGCACAGGTGAGTCCAGGGGGTTGAGAAGGCTATAGCACCCTTGGCTGATGGGTTGGGTTCAGGGGTGTGGAACTTCATCGAAACCAAAAATCCACCCAAGCTGGACCCTGCCTCGGCTCCGTCATCAAACATAATTAATATTGAGATTTCCACCCCCACTCCCCGTACATACACGCCATAATAGATTTCTGTTCATGTTCGGTTCATTTAGTACTCATAAAATGGAAACCATTTTCTTCCTCTGTTTTAATAACTACTAGTTTAATTATAGAGTAGATTTTGATCAGGCTGTTGCCCATCCAGCGATTAAGCTAATGAAAGGAGAGAATCTTAGTTATTTGGTAAAGCTTCTTTTATGTGCTGTTATTTAAAGTATCAGAAGAGGGGGGTTGCGGCAAATTAAAATCTTGGTTCCGTTGGCCGCTCTCCTCGGAAACACAGGCCTTTGGCTCCTGCTGGGGTCGGCTGGCAGCCGTTGCTGGGATCGAAGAGGGCTTTGTATTCAGGGCCGAGTCTGCAGCATGGTGGCTCTCCCGTCCAAAACCCACCCCCGAATGGAACAGTCCCTCTCTCCAGGCCAACACCAGCTGGGTGATGCGGGGAGATGGCCGTTTCCTCCAAGAGGGAGCAGTTGTGTTCTAGGCTGTGCTAGGGACATCAGGAGCCCCACCCGTCACCTGTCGCAGGAACATTCTCGGATTCCCTTGACCCCCTGGGGTTTATTCTGAGAAAAGCAGGGGTCACTAAGCAAAGTCATAATTAAGAGGAATTGGAAGCCCTACTACGAATGACAGCTTAGAGCCCCTGTTGAGAGACTTCCATGAAAAAGGAAAAAAATGCAATTCATTTATTCATTGTGCAACAAATGTTTGCTGAGCACCTACTAAGTGCTGGGCTTTGAACTAGGCGCTAAGGGGAGCAAGACGGATTAAGATAGTAGCTATAAAACTGTTTTTGAAGGTAGTCCACAATTAGAAATCTGTTTAATATCATGAACAGTATATACATATGCATATATTCAGACACAAAGCTGAAACAAAAAAGCATATGGAGAATGCATACCCCTGCTGTGTTCAGTACACTTTGATAGTTCATGTTCTACTTCATAAAAACAAAATAACTGGGCATGGTGGCTCATGCCTGTAATCCCAGCATTTGGGGAGGCTGAGGTGAAGGGATTGCTTGAACCCAGGAGTTTGAGACCAGCCTGAACAACATAGTGAGAGCTTATCTCTACCAAAAAAAAAATTATCCTGGTGTGGTGGTGTGTACCTGTAGTCCCACCTACTGGGGAGGCTGAGACAGAAGGATTGCCTGAGCCCAGGAGGCCAAGGTTGTGGTGAGTTGTGATCCTGCTACTACACTCCAGCCTGGGCAACAGAGTGAGACCCTGACTCACATAAATATGTATAAAATAAAAACAAAAGCATCACCAAAACTCTGCTGGTTGCCACCCACTAAAATCATTCCATGACCCTAGAGTGGGTCCCAGCCTATGTTTTGAAGCATACTGAGTTAAGTCCTCTGTCCCTGAAAAGCTCCCTCTCTGGATCTTGAACAGGGAAGTCAGGTAAGTACATGATGCATGCTCAATTCAGATGTGATCAGAATGTTTGGGGGTACTGAGGTGGGCACAGGCGTGTCTCCCCTAAGTGAGGTGGGGTGAGCTGTTAGTGAAGCTTGTCCTAAGCCCTGACTGTGCACCCAGTGCTCGGAGGCAGAGTAGCAGCCTGCCAAGCAGAAGAAGGGGGGGTGGTCTCCGGAAGGCACAGCTCAGGGACACTTTTGGCCCTGCTGGGAACTGAGGACAGAGATGAATGTGATTGTCTAGAGAGAGCAGACAGCCAGGGAAGGGAAGAGAGTGGAGGGCTGGACTCTGGAAAATCAGGACACTTAAGAAGCTCTGCAGAAGCCGGGTACAGTGGCTCATGCCTGTAATCCCAGCACTTTGGGAGGCCGAGGTGAGAGGATTGCTTGAGCCCACAGGTTCGAGACTAACCTGGGCAACTTGGTGAGACCTCATCTCTACAATAAATCAAAAAATTAGCCAGGCGTGCTGGTGCGTGCCTGTAGTTCCAGATACTTGGAAGGCTGAGGCGGAAGGATCGCTGGAGCCCAGTAGGTTGAGGTTGTGATGTCCGTGAGCGTGCCACTGTACTCCAGCCTGGGTGACAGAGTGAGACTCCAACTCAAAAAAAAAAAAAAGAAGAAGCTCTGCAGTAGAGACGAGGCCGCAAAAAGAGGCTGGAGGGAAGCGGCCAGAGCCAGCATGTCCTTGAATGAATGCGAACATCCTTGGTTTGCAAATCCAGAGTGGACGATAATATCCAAACAAGCCACCTGGAGATAGCAGTAGGGAAATGAAGTCACCCTCAGAGAGGCAGGTGAAGATTGGACAACAGTTGGTGTTCACTTGGCTTTCTTACCTTTTTGTAGATTTTTAATCCCCTCCTTGAGAAGCGACTCACCGAACAGATCAAATTATATTATGAAAGATGTGCTGAGGTTCGAGAAATAGTGTCTGTGTACGCCAGCATGGCCCAGCACGGGGGCGAGAGACAAGAGGCATGTGAGTATGGAACCGTGGGGGGCGCCGCTGTAAGCTCTGAGCATTTGTATTAACACCTGTTTGGCTTCACCCTAACGGGATTAAAATTGAACATATGTGACTTGGCTTAGATACCAGTGGGGACAAGTGTGACCTCGAGCCCTCCCCAGATGGATGTGAGTGGAAGCATACATTCTACCTGGATTCCACACAGAGCAGGGACAGCCAAGATGAACCAAAGCATATCTCCTAGCTTCGACCATAAAAAAAACTAGTTTAAGTATACAAATGAAAGCAAGTGTTTTGCGCCCCGCATGGCATCATTCCCATCCTGACGACCAGCCTAAGAAAATAAAAATGAGTTGGAAAATAAATTAATCATTAGAAATATTTCCCCATCCGTGCATTTTTGTCTTGGGCCATTAATATCTGAATATTAGCTTTCAGAAAGGTTGAACAGTGACTCTGTTGTTTGAGGCTTGGTTTTATTTTTTTGAATCCTTGAAATTGACTCATTCTGGAAGACATTGGTAATCTTCCACAGAAGGAATGAATTTCAAGTAGACTGCTTTCAGGCGTGTCCATATTTGCACGGGCATCCTTTTACTCATTCAGGGTGTTTATCGGTTACAAGACTCGGTCCTGCCTGGTTTTCTGGCATTCCCTTTTGGATCTAGCGTGTATCCATGTCTCTGCGCCATCGATCTCGTTGCTTGATACGGGGGCACGCGAGTTACTCACATATGTTCTTTCTGGAAGAGAAATTCCTGTGGCGCCTTTGCCATCAGTGAGAGCGAGTGGAGTATTTCAGTCTTGCCCATATGTCTCTAGCTCTCCAGAGCAGAACTTCCCTTTTCAGGACGTGGAGGGATAGATGTGTCTGAAACACGCCCCGATCCAATAGGGTTCACATCAGATGCTCCCAGGTAGTGATTAGAGATGGTGATGGGTGAGGTGGAAAGACAGCACTCCTGCAATTTGACTTAAGAATAGGCCACACTAGTTCCCAGCTGCTGCTCTCGCTGCTGAATCATCCAGAAAATATGATGCTGTCAGAGGAAGGGAAAAGATATATAGGAATAGTAATATCCCAAACAGGAAAGAAACAGATTTTGGTAACTCACGTACTCTCAGGAGAGATTCTCCGAGTTGGGAGGCCAGGCATGCATGCTGATCTGTTTGGTGGCGTTAGGAAGATTTTCCTAATGTTTTCGGTTGCTTTACCTCCCTGGGGATCCTTGTGCTTTGCTCCTCAATTCACGTGCTGACAAAACGGCCTAGATATTGGCCTCCGGGGGACCAGTCAGAGGCCAGCTGCTCACTCTGTAGAATTATTCAACAGCCATCAGCAACGCTGGCACATTTTCCTTGGACTTGGCTCTGGACGTGTGACCTGGAGGCAAAGGCATCGTCACCAGTTTCAAATCCCTGAAGGACCCAAGTCAACATCCGGCAATGTCGAGCCTGGCCTCTTACTTCTAGTTCCCTTTAGAAAGCAAGGTTTTAGGGGGGCGAGTCTTTCCCTCCCCCAAAGAGTATGACACCTCCTTGTGCTTCCTCCCTGTGCAGGTCGCCTCCGCCACGCCTACCTGGACCTCGCACACAGGTATGGGAGGCTGTCGACGTGCGGAGCCTTCCCCTGGGAGAAAGGGCTGAAGGACAAGCACCCCAGCTTGTTCCAGTCGCTGCTGGAGATGGATTTGTCGACCGGTAATGGAGTCTTTGCCTCGCCTCTGGGCACCGGTTAGAAAGGCCCCGTGTTTTTTCTTTCACTCACCCTCTTTGGTGATTTATGCCTCAAAGTTATTTTTAACCCTAGTGTTCTAGCTTAATTTCAAATTTAAATTCTGCCCTTGTATGTCCACAACTCTCGATATATCTGTGAGCATTTCCAACACTAAATGCAAAAACTTAAATTTAGGAATCACTCAAGCCATTCTTTATTTAAAGCCGAAGCCACACACCAAAGGATAGCCCGCAGACAGAGCTGCCCCCCCCCCCCCGGTGGTGGTTTGGAATACACCTTGTCGTATATGTGAAAAAGGAAAAAAAAGTTATCAGTATCTAAAAACTTACACGAAAATGCAAATGTCTACCTTTTCCTGGAGTATCCAAAGATCTGGCAACACGGGGCCTTTAATCTCACGTGGCGGTTATCTCGGAGGTGAGGCACACTGTGTCTGCCTACAGATCCCCCTGCTGTTTGGCACCTCCTGCCCACTTTATTCATGGGTCTGACCTTCCTGGGCCCCTAGGCCTTTGAATTTGAGAGCCCCAGTTTGAGGGGAGGGACACTTTAAGCATCACCTCACCAATCTGCTCATACTTACCAGATGTTGTCAGCCTCTCTGACAGCCATCACAACTTGGGTTAGCTTTGTCAGTAAGTGCCCACTGTACGGCCATGTGGGATCTTGAAACCAGGCCTGTCGGGAAGAGGAAAAGAAGCTGGAGGTGTCCAGCCTAGTTAAGAGAATCCTAACGGGGTGGTGATAACTGTCTTGGTAGGGGCAACCTGAGCCAGTCCTGGGCACAAAACTGAACCTTAAGTCGGGCTGACGAAGAAACTGCCTTCCACCTCACGGAAGAACTTTCTAAGAATGGCAGTGTCCAATAGCATAGATTTCCTTTGCAGACAGTGACCACCCCTTCCTGGAAGAATTCAAGCCTCGCAGGGTATTTCATGGTTCATTCTTCGGATACTTGCTGAATGACTACTCAGTTACTTGGCTAGGCTTCAGAGATAAGTGAAGTAACGCCAGGTTTCTGTCCTTGAGCAAAGCAAAACAATAATGCATTTTATGAAAGGCTGTGAAAGTGAGTGGTAAAGGCCCAAAGAAGGGAAGGGTCTGCTCTACCTAGAGGACTGGGGTGTACTGTGAAGGCTTCTTGGAGGAGGTGACATTGGGACTGATTCTTGAAGGGTAGGAGATATTTTCCAGATAAGTGAGGCAGGAGTGGGAATTGCAGGCAGAGTAGGAGCCGAGAGGTGGGAACAGCAGGGCACATTGAATGAAGTGCAGTGATTTCAAGGAGGCAGGAGAAGCCGGGGAGGAAGATGATTCCAGGGAGCACTCAGAGGCCATGTTGAGGAGTTTTGGCTTTTTCTTGTAGGTGACAGGGACCTGTTGAAGGGTTTCAAGCAGGGGATAGGCATGGTCAGATCTGGGTTGTTGAGGCCACTCTGGGGGCGATGGCTGGAGGGGAGATGGGCTGGAGGGTGTGGAGCCGGAAGCAGGGAGTGTATCGCTACAGTTATGAGAGGAGAGGGTACAGGCCTCACTAGGACAGCAGGTGGGGACAGACATTGGCTCTGAAGGACTCCATCGCTTCTTGGATGTGGGCAGAGAAGACCAGGCTCTGGGAGGCCATGCCACGTGTGACATCCTCACCTCTGCATTCCATTTCCAGGCCTCCATGGAGAATAAAACAATTCTAAATTCTTATAAGCAAAACGTTGAGCTGTAACAATGACATGAAAACATTCTCATTTTCAACATAACACTTGCTAGCTGTGTGATCTTGGGCAGATTACTTAGTTTCTCTGAGCCTCAGCTTCCTTATCTGCAAAGTGGGGATGATCACAGTACCTCTCTCCTAACACTGGAATCAATGAATTGATGTACAAGAGGGGACCCAGAAAGACCCGGAATTGTCTTTTGGAGGGAAGACCCCTTGTAGTGCAGGCTTCCCTGGCTAGTTAAGTGTTCTAGGAACCCATCAGCATCAGCATGCCAGCTAGCATTGTTGTGAGATACTGCATTCGGCTTCAGGGAATTGGCGGGGGGAGAGATTCAACACGATTGCTCATTTCATGATGGGTGATTTGCACAAGCAACCTGCCCACATTGTGCTGAGTGTTGAAGAGTTTTTGGCCAAAACATGAGGACCCATGCCCCACTCTCCCTATTCACCCAATCTTGCCCCAAGCAGCATTTTTTTGTTTGTTTGATTCCTGGATGAAAAAAGCCCTCAGAGGGAAATGTTTTGCCAGTGTGGAAGAGGTGAAACAAAACAGAAGCCCGAAAAGGCATCAAAATGGACGAGTTCAAAAACTGTTTTGAAGCCAGGCTCAGTGGCTCAGTCTGTAATCTCGTGCTTTGGGAGGCCGAGGGGAGTGGATTGCCTGAGCCCGTGGGTTTGAGACACGCCTGGGCAACTTGGCGAGACCTCATCTCTACAATAATCAAATATTAGCCAGGTGTGGTAGCACGCGCCTGTAGTTCCAGCTACTTGGAAGGCTGAGGCGGAAGGATCGCCGGGACTCAGCAGGTCAAGGCTGCGGTGGCTGGGAGCGGCCACTGCACTCCAGTCTGGGCTACAGAGTGAGACTCTAACTCAAAACAACACCACAACAACAAAAAAAGCAAAAACTGTTTTGAACAGTGGAGAAAGCATCTCAATAGGTATATTGCATCAAACGGAGAATACTTTGAAGGCGATTGAAGTTTAAACATGTAAGAATAAACACACAATTTTTATAAGTAAGCTCCAGTCCCCTCTTGTATATAAACTACTCAGAACATTGTCAGCACATAGCCCCGTGTAAATGAGGGCTTTTCAGTCTTGGCACTGTTGACATTTTGGACTGGAGAATCCCTTGTTGTTGGGGGCAGTCTTAGTCTTGTGTGTTGTGGAATTCTCAGCTGCATTTCTGGCCTCTCCCCTCTAGATACCAATAGATCCCCCCATGCCCCTTCTCTCCAAAAATGTCTCCAGACACTTCCAGATGCCACCAAGGAGGCGAATCACCCCCAGCTGGGAACCACTGCTGTATCGATGTTATTGCTATTATTACTGGGCAGAGATAATTCCAGGTTTTTGTCAGTTGTCTGGGAGGTGATAACAGCACCCCTCGAGACAGGCAGATAGGAGCCTAAGATGTGTGTTGGATAATCTAGGCTTGGTGGGCTAAGATCAATCCACACCACGATTGTTTTCATGAGATTTCTGGTCATATTTCAGTACAGTTTTGCTGATTGGGAACAAGAGTGAATCATTTTCACAAAACGTTCTTTTTAAAGTAAAGAGTCTCAATGAGAATGTTTTCATGTCATTGTTACAGCTCAAAGTTTTGTTTATAAGAATTTAGAATTGTTTTATTCTCCACGGAAGCCTGGAAATGGAATCTAATTACAAACCCACATCCTAAGCCCCCTTACCTTAAGATTTCCCCGGGCGGCCGGGCATGGTAGCTCAAGCCTGCAATCCTAGCACTTTGGGAGGCCAAGATGAGGGGATTGCCTGAGCCCATGGGTTTGAGAACAGCCTGGGCAGCTTGTATTATACAGACCTCATCTCTACAATAAATCAAAAAATTAGCCTGGTGTGGTAGTGCATGTCTGTAGTTCTGGCTACTTGGAAGGCTGAGGCGGAAGGATTGCCTGGGCCCAGCAGGTCAATGCTGGGGTGGCCGTGAGTGTGCCACTACACTCCAACCTGGGCGACGGAGTGAGACTCTGGAGTGAGATTCCGACTCAAAAAAAAAAAAGATTTCCTGGGCATTGGTGCTGCGGAACCATTAGATTCTGGCATAACAAATGAGTTCCACTGACCTCTACTAGGCCCCTGGGACTCCCATCAGGGGTTGGGGGTGCAGGGGGAAGGGGGCCGCAAAGTCAATTTGCCACTTTTTATTTTTTTTTAAAATGTTGGTGGAGATGGGATCTCACCATGTTGCCCGGGCTGGTCTCCAACTCCCTGTCTTAAGCAAACCTCCCACCTTGGGCTCCTCCCAAGGTCCTGGGATTA